ACATACGCCAACAACAGTCAGGCTGAGAATCAAATTAAAGTCTCAGTACCTTTCACAATAGCAACAAACAAAATAAAATATCTAGGAATATGCTTAACCAAGGAGGTGAAAGACCCCCACAGGGAGAAGTACAAAACACTGAGGAAGGAAATTGAAGAGGATGTAAACAAATGGAAAAAAAAATATCATGCCCATGGATTGGCAGAATCAACATTGTTAAAATGTCTATGTTACCCAAAGTGATTTACAGATTCAGTGCAATCCCCATTAAAATACCAACGTCTTTTTTCATAGATGTAGAAAAAATAATTCTATACTTCATATGAATTCAGTATCTTTGCTTCAACAGGATCATGTTCACATAAATTCCCTTTCTTGTACAGTATGGTCATGGATATCGGCAGTCATTCGGGTGAGAGAAAGCAAAGCTGATTGCTTGGCATAGACTACAGATAACTTTTGTAAATGTGTTTACACTTTTTTCATTTAAATGAACATGTCACAACACTCTTGGAAACAACTTTCCATTAGCCTGAGCGCAGCACACAGCATGAGACAGCAACACTCACTGAATGAAATTTCCTTTTGCCTCTGGTCTGATTTTTATCAGGTTGGTACCAGGTCTGCAGAATTAGTCTGCTTTTTCACTCGTATTTGTTGAATTCCCTGATGGCTGGGTAAATGAAGAAACCACTTAAAATTTATAATAAAAATAATAGCAACTAACATTGGGTGCGTACAAGTTATCAGGCATTGTCTAAGCACCTTGCTGTATTAGTTCGCCATAACCCAATGATGGAGGTACAGTAATTATCCTCGCTTTTTTTATGAGGATACTGGAAATTGAAGAAGCAAAGTAATTTGCCCAGGTTGCGGAGTATCTTAGTCTGTTTGGGCTGCTATAACAAACTACCATAGACTGGGGGGCATGTAAACAAAAGGAATTGATTTCTTACAGTTCCAGAGGCTAGGAAGTCCTAGATCAAAGTGCTGGCAGATTCAGCGTCTGGTGAGGGCCCACTGCCTGGTTCGTAGATGGCTGTGTCCTCACGTGGAGGAAGGGATGAGGGAGGTCTCCAGGGTCTCTTTTGTGACAGCACTAATCCCATTCACGAGGGCTCCACCCTCATGATCTAATCACCTCCTAAAGGGCCCACATTCAGATGCCATCACCTTGGGTGTTGAGTTTCAGTGTAGGAATTTTGGAGGAACATAAACATTCAGTCTATTGCACATAGCTAGAAAATGGTTGAGATGGAATTTGAACCCTGGCACCTTAATGCCAGAGTCCATTTTCTTAATCATTGTGCTATACTGATGATACTTTTTGTGTTGCTACAAGTATAGCTGAAGTTTGTAACTGAAAATAAGATGTGGTTCCAGTAAAGCACAGTCAGTACAACAGGTGAATCATGCATCGATAGCTTAATATAGGAATTAAAACTCAAATGTCCATACACCACCCCAGAGGGAAACTACCCAGGTGTAGTCATAGCGAGGGGTGAGTGCGGTAGGGAACTGAAGAATACATGCTCATTGTGATGGGGCAACTTTGTATAAACATGTTAGAGGTTTTGTTTTGTTTGTTTTTGTTTTTGTCAAGAGAAGCAAGAAATCTGGCTTTTAATGTGAAACTTCCAGTTTGTAAAATCACCTTGTTGCTAATAACCCTGCTTTATCCATTAATGGTTAAATTGTACTCCTGTGTAATACAGGTTAGTTTTTCCTGCAGTAACCAACAACCCCCAGTGCTTGGTGGCTTTAAAACAATTAAAGGTTATGTCTTGCTAATGCTACTTGCTCAAGCTAGGTCAGCAGGGGTCTCTACTCTTTGTATATCTAAGAGACTCAGGCTAAGGGAGGCTTTATTTGAACACATTTTTAACATCATAACTGCAGTAATGCAAGGGACTCATGCACTAACCCTTAAAGTTTCTTATGGAAGTGACACAGATCACTTAGACTCATATTTCATTGGCCAAAGATAGTGACCACATCTCACTTCTAAGGAGGTCGGGAAGTGCATCCCTTCCATGGACTACAAGAGAAGCTAAATGTTTATGAATATTCTTAATGACTACCACCACTCCATATACTCTGATTTTCAAGGCAGAAATGTTACATTTTTTTCCTAAGGTAGAATCCAATTTTCAGAGATCTCAGATCTCAAACAGAGATTGATTAAAAAAAATTGTTTTGTTCTTGAAGGATTAAATTTGACTTCTCTGGAAAATTCATATTTTCCTTAATTTGGATTAATGCTGCTTAAACACTATCTTCTTTGAGTTGATTAGGAAATCATATGCAGGAACTGTGAAATATTTTTTAGCTGAAGCGATGATTTACAGATGAGTATTTATTCCAAAAAGCACTGCTCGTATATTTAAAATATGTGTTTACGTTATCCACAATTTTGTGTAAATTGTCTCATTAACTACACTGTAGGGTAAGAACTTTATCTGATTAATTTATACTCTGTAGTGCCTTGTACTATAGAAAATGGTTATTTAATAGATGTTAATACATTTTATTGATGTATTTATCAGTTAGTACTCAATAAATCACTATAATGAGATATGATGACTTCAGGAGATGTCACAGAAGTTGAAAAAACAACAGGAATTTTTAAAAAGTTGCTTATTGTTGATCATGATGTTACATGAACGTCAAAATTCAATAGTCCCTTAATTTCAAGGGCAGTTCTGGCTTATATGCTGTGAATCACAAGGCAACCAGACCTTCTTTTCAAATATCATTTTTCTGTAATGTTTTCACATGCTTTATTTGGCTGTAAGATTTGGATGAATTGTAACTTAAAAAAATTATTAAGCAAATATAAGTGCTCAGGGAGGTATTCCATTGCCCAAGATCTTGCAAGGCTCTAAACAGTCTTCAAAACAAGCCCCTCCTAGCTTCTAAACCCACACCCTTCCTGGACAACCAGATAGAGGGTGATTCTCATTCTCATGAAATGCAGAGTGCTCAGGGACATGAATGTGTGAGGACAGAGCTTGGCCCGGGAACAGTGTTTCTATAATTTAATGGTAGAATTACTCCCCTTGGAGAAAGTTGCATGAACACAAGTTACTCATTGATTGAATCCCAACCATGCAACTGTGTTTCCAGAATCAATCATTCTTAAGTTGTTCCACATGTACTTATATATATTCATACAATGGTCCATGTAACTGGCTTTTTTTGATGTTGTCTATCTGCTGATACAGTATATAGTACAGTGTTAAGATTCTGGTGTCAGATGACCTGGGTTTTAAAATCATTACTGACACTATATACTAGCTGTGTAATGTTGGAAAATCATTTATCTCAGTAATGTTTAGATTCCTTATTTGTAAAATGGAGGTAAAAGGTATCACCTGTATCATAAGATTCCTCTGAAGATTAAGTGAAATAATGTGTACAGCATGCGTGGATGGCATAACACCAGGCACATGGTAAGCATTTAATAAAATCAGCTATTATTATTAATAATTTATTACTACTTTATAATCAGGGTTAAAGGATCTCAAAAGTCATTGAATTAAGCTACTCATACAATAATTTTCTCCCCCCTACAATTTTCCCACCAAGAAGTCTCCTAGCCCATGATTGAATACTTATTATTGGTTAAGTCTGACTTTTTAAACTTTGTCATATTGAACTAAATTATGGCTAAACCTGTAGCTTTCACCATTTAGAAATACACAGAACAAATGTAGACCTTTTCCTCATGACAGCCCTTTGAATTTGAAAATACCTCTAATCATAGGCTATTTTGTAAACTTCCTTGGAATTTTTCCTTCCTCTCCCTGAAACTTTCATTTGATCTTTCTCCTTCCCTTCAACACCAAAATTTTGGAAATAATAATGTATAGATGTGGTTTCAACTTCTTCGGGTTTTATTTTCTCTTCAGCAGCTTGGTATAGAATCTGCTTCAGCAACTCGCCAAGCTGAAGCACAGGGGCTGCCTGGGAGCCAAAACGCAAGGGAAAACAGAGAAATAATAAAATTGGCCCTACTTTATTGAACCCTTTATAATGTTCTAATCACTATAGTAAGAACTTTACATATTTTTTTTCATTTAATTCTTACTAGACCCTATGTGCATATTGGTATTATTATCTCTATTTCACTGTCGAGGAAAATGATTCTCTGAGGATTTGAATTTTCCAGCATCCTGCAGGTTGAAATGGGTGGGGTCTGTCAGAGAGCCATATGCCTCCCAAGTCCTGGCACGTAAACACCAGGCTTATAACTAGCCATGAAGTTGGGTGACTATGAGGAGGAAGAGAGAAACCATCAGATCAGTCAACTTTATTGGGCACACATTATATAAAAGGCCTGTTTGTGAAAGAATAAGAAATACAAGACACAGCCTTTTTCTCATATAAGGAAGCTCACAGTGTAGCAAACACATACATAACACACATATGCATATACACGTGAAAAATAACTCACAAGAGAGTGAAAGCAGTCTAAACATTATGAGACATTTCTCCTATTAATTTCTTCTGATATTTTAAAAATTGTTAGTATACATACAATGACATAGAGATAGGTGTGTAGCTAATGACAACGAGAAGGAGATACAAAGATAGATCAAGACAGATCAAGAATACAGATATAGATACCTGGATGTAGAGATACAGGTGTGTGGAGATAGAGACAAAAAGAGAGAAAAAGGTATGTAAAGTGAAACTGTGGACCAGAAGGAGATAGATTTGAGGATGGTGGTGGTTTTGGAGAGGACACGAGAGAAGAGGACAAGTGTAGGGGTGAGATAGAGGGGGGAAAGGAAACATCATTTACCATGTTCATTTATTTTAGGGAACCAAACATATCTGAGCAAAAATACAAATTACAAAGAGAGGTGGTACGGAGGGACAGCTTCAATTCTTCTCTTTTAATTTTTGGAGACTTGCGTAAGAATCCTCTAAACGATCCTGTACTGCAAGCCGCGTCCCTCCCCGGCTCCCCGCCCTGACCGGTGCTTGTGTTGCAGGCGGTGGGCTGCGACCGGCGGCTGGGCAGCGACGCCCGCGAGGACAACTGCGGAGTCTGCGCCGGCGACGGCGCCACCTGCAGGCTGGTGCGGGGACAGGCGAAGTCACACGTGTCTCCTGAAAAAAGTAGGTTGCGAACTCAATACTGTGCTGTCGTAATACGAGATGTGTTTCTGACCATCTATTACTGGAATAACCTTTCCCTGATGCTAACCTTTTTTTACTTGAAATAACTTTTAACCAGGATTCCAAAAGTCAAATTTCTTGCAAAAAATATATATCAAATTTTTGTTCCTACTCTCTCTTAGAAGAATACCCGCTTTTTGAACCTTTGCCAATACAGAGTATTACTATTTTTAAAAAATATTTGCAGATTTTTCGGGTAAATCGTGAAGTAACTCTTTTATTTGCCTTCCTTTAATTGCTAACAAAGTAGCATTGTCATATTATATATATATTGGCCATTTATGCTTTTTTATCTTTCAGTTAGCTATTGAAGCCATTTACCCATTTTCCTATTGGGATGTTGATCTTTTCCTCACTGTTGTGGCTTTTAATATATCATAAATACTAACCTTTTGACTGTTATGCTTATTTCCAGTGTGGTTTCCAGTTTGTTATTTGACTTTAAATTTTGTGTTTTTAGACTCAATAGTTTCTATGTTTTATGTATTCAGAAATTTCCATCTTTTTATTTCAATAACTTGTTTTTTTAATCCTTTAATTTGGGGACCAGTAAATTTTATCTGTAAAGGACCAGATAGGAAATATTTTGGACTTTGTAGGACATATAGTCTCTGCCTCAACTACCCAAGACTGGCTGTGGCAGCACAAAAGCACCCACAGATACCTGGAAACAAATGGGCATGCCTATGTTCCAATAAAACTTTATTTACAGAGGTAGCCTGTAGGCTGAATGTGGCTCTCAGGTAGTAGTTTGACCTCTGCTTTAAAGGGAAAAAATTATTCATGCATGTTTTCTGCCAGTACTTTTATGGTTTTGTTTTTCTACTTTTAAATCTTTTATTCATTTTAATTTAGTTTGATATAACTTATGAAGTTGGGATCTTACTTACTCCTCCAAATGGGAACATCATCATAGGAGTGGTGGAAGGTTCTGCAAGCACAGGAAACACAAGTTTCACGGCACAACACTAGGAGGAAGCCTGGATTTTCTGAGGAACTACTTACTAATATGTTGGTCAGGCCTGAATGCACATTGAATAGGGTGGAAGATAAGACAGAATGGCATTCAGGAGTCAGCCATAAAATCCTTCATTATTGTGTTTTATATTTCAGGTGAAGTGGAGTCATGAAAGCAATTTAGGCAGTGGAGTGACATGGCTAGATTTGTGTTTCAGTAAAATAATTCTGGTGGCATGTGAAGGCTGGATTGCCTGTGAGGGGAGCCTGGAAGCAGGGAGCCCAAATAGGAAGCTTTTTAGAAAATACTGAAGAGTGTTTGAAATATGAGGCCTTCGTCTAGGGTAGCATGCAGGCATGTAGATGAAGGAACAGCTGGAGAGATATTTAGAAGGTAGAATGGGCAGAGTTCGGTAATTCTTTGAATAAGAAAAGAAAAAGAGAAAGAAGAGGCTAGAATGATGTAAATTTTCCATCTTGAGTGGCTGGGTGGATGTTTGCTGTTAATTTGGGTAGGGAATTAATGAAGAGGAGACATGTATCAAAGGTGAGAGCCCACATCCTTGGATTTTTTTCTCTCTGGAATTTTGGCCCCATAAGTATTCAATACTTTGGTACCTTTCTGATGCCTTCAAACAGACGTCTGATGTATTTTGTTTGTGGTTGGAAGGTTGCTCTGAAACATGTTAGTCCATCATGGCTGATAGCAAACCCCCTTGTTGGTGGTATTCAGTTATAAATGTAGGTGAGTCCACCCAAAGAGAGTATGTAGACTATAACAAAAGGCCAAAAATTGTATACTTATGAACACCTGAAGTCAAGGCATTTAGCCAAGGAAGAAGTTTAGGGAAATTCACCTGAGAAGGAATGAAGAGAGTAGATAGGTAAACGCTGAATTTAGCAAGAGCAGTATCATGGAAGCCAAAGGAATAAGTAACTTCAAAAAAGAGGTAATAGCCATGTTAAATGCTGTAGTGAGGTCACCTGGAATAGGGCCCCCAAATTTCTCTTTAGCAATTTGAAAGTCATTAGTGACATTAGCCAGGTGATGTCAGTGAATTTCAGGCTGAAACCAAAGCTTGATTGCAATGGGTTGATGAATGAAGAGAAGGTGGGAATACACAGAAGGAAGCATTTGCCCAGGACCAGAGGAGGGTGCACACTGACACCAGGTCAACAGCTGGATAACTGCACAGGAACAGCTGGAGAACATGGTGAGAAATCACAGGAGTTCCAGTCTATTGGTTTTGACTCTTCATTAAGAGGTAGAGTCAGCCATCAAGAGGGAGGGCCCAGGGACTCGAGTGTGTTCCCACGGAGGACAGGAGGAGAAGGAACTCATCAAGGAGAGAGAAAAGATACAGGCGTAGCTGTAAGGGCCCAGCTGAGACTGGAAACCATGAATTATAGGAGCTGCAATCCATGGACTTCATGAAGGATGTGGCTTTGAATGGTGGTGTATCAATTAGGAATGCATTCTACTGAAAATCATAAAAAACTCCACTTGTAAACTTCAGAGTCGCATGTGTCTCTTCTAACAGGAAGTCTGAAGTAGGCAGTCAAGGCTGGGGACGCTGTTCTGTGTCTTTCAGGAGCCAGGCTCCTCTCTCTTCTTCACGTCCTTAGAGTGCGCTTTTGCCTACAGGGCCGCAAAGTCACGAATGGACATTGAGATGTCACATTCCCGTGCCAGATACTAAGGAAGAAGATGGTAAAAGGCATTCTTTAAAACTGTGTTCTTTATACAGGAAGGGAAGCCTTCCCCAGGGAATTTTGCTTCATTGACCACAACTGTGGCATGTGACACCCTGGCTTTTAAGGAGGCAGGAAACCAAGTACTTATAATGCTTTGTGACTCCCAATGTTTTCTTCAGACGTATCGTATCATCGAATTCTATTGGTATTACATTGTAGTTTTAATAATGTCAAACCCATTTTACAGATGAGGAAACTGAAGACCAGAGATGTTAAGAAATATCTCTCACAATTAATTATGAAAGGCAATGTAGGGAAGTGGTTAAGAAATTGGAGTCTTGGGCCAGACTGCCTAAGTTTAAATTCTGGGTCTGTTGTTCACTAGCTGTGTAAGCTGGGCAAGTTATTTAACTTCCGTATGTATCTTGGATTTCTCATTTTAAACTGGGAATAACAGTAATACTGCCTTTGTAGAGCTGCTGCCAGGATTAAATAAATCAGTCTGTGCTGAGCCCTCCAAATGGTCCAGTACCTCGAGAGTGTTCAGTAAGTGCTAGCTGTGTTTTTATTAAAAATGCCACTTATTTGGGTACCAAAGGATGTCGCACCTCCTATATACCTTAAATGTATGCCCTTAAGTGGGTATCTGTAAACGTCTTTTTAAATCAGCAATTGGTCCATCTGGGGGTTTATTTTAAGAGAGCTACTGGGTGTGGAGGAAAACCCTGGAAGTGTCAAAAAGAGTGAATTGCAGGAGAAACCAAAGTTTGAGGACTCACATCAGGGGAAGACAGTTTGAAGAGACAGGCTGTGCTGAGCAGAGTTCATTCAGGAAGAAGGACTGAGGGGGGAGATAATAGCCAGGTCAGGGTGTTGGGGAAGTACCTGGAGTTAGTGTTGGCCTTAAAAAGCTTGGAAATCTCATCAGAAAAAACCTTGTTTTGTCAGGGTCCAAGAGAGACTAGAAATAGAGATCATTCTTATTGAACTAGGGTAGAAGCTGAGTGAATGTGCCAAGAAACCAGTCTTTTTCGGAGAAGTGTACAGGGGAGGCCCTGAAATGCAAGGTAGCTCGTATCCTCCCCACCTCCCTCTCACACATTGATTTTCAGTTTTTGGATAGTAGATCCTTTTGAGAATCCATTGAAAGTTACACATTTTCTTTCCAGAAATTGTACGTGTACTTATAAGCCCCAAATTTGCCCTTCTGCTATTTGGGGGTGGACCTCAGACCCCTGATGCCTATTTAGGACATTTCAGGTTAAGAACTTCTAAAACGCCTAATGTTTTTGATCAATTTCTATGAAAAAAGAACTGAGTGCACAGACAGATCCTTCATCGCAGGGCGTGAGTGACATGGTGTAAGCTGGGGGGCATCCCACGGGACGCTGGCATTTCATCAGGTTCTGTGCGCGCGCTTGAGCTGAGGCTAAAGGTCGCAAAGGTTCCTGCCTGCGTGAAGACACGGTGCTTCTTGTTCTTCATTCTCACGATGGCCCCTTCGTGTCTGTTCCGGCTCTGAAACTGGCCAGCTGAAGCTGTTTTTGGCTGGGACTTTCCCTGGGCCATATGGAAGCACTTCCCTATAATCACGCTTTGTGAGAAAGAAATGTGGGAAATGAAGCCAGGTCTCCCCCTGAGAGTGCATCACTGGGGCCTGCAGAGTCCACGCAGCTCCCGCGTCCACGCCTTGCCAAGCAATCGTTCCTGTCCTCCCTGGGACTCACCCTGCGTCAGGACATGGCAGAGAGATGCTGTTGGCGCAGCCCCACGCTGGAGAAATCGCACAGGGCTGCACACAGGATGTCGTTTCCATCACGCAGTGGGGCAGACACAAGGTGCAGGAGCCTGGAGCCAAAACCTTTGCTATGAGAAAAATCAGAAATTAATCCAGATACAACATACAAATTTCCTGCTCAGAGAAAGAAGGAGAGAGACAGAACTGACAACCGGCATAAACAGCTTTGGATGTTGGAAAAGGGAACTAGAGGCCACTGGGATTTTAAAGAGAGAAAACTCGTAAAACAGCAACAAAGATGCAAACACAGCTATTTGGAGAGTCTTGACTTGGCATTTAGGGACTTAGTTGCATTTCCAGGTGTGTCCCCTATTTTGGTCTTGCCCACATAAGGGTACACATGTATGAAGCAAATAAACAAACAAGCTCAGCTTGTCTGTTCTGGGCTTTTTGTCCATTTTTACATGGTGGCAACCCAGCCGGTGGACACAGCGGTACCCGAGGCCAACTTGGAGCAGCAGCGCTTCTCTCAGCTTTCGACATTATGACG